ATTAAGAATGTCTTCATTCAAATTTACTTCAAAGCAAAATTGGGTTTGTGATGCAGATTTGCTTTAGCACTTTATTATTAAGTCTGCCAAGTTTTGTAAGGTTATTTAAGATTAGGATTTGATCATGTAAGGATCTGCTTTCAAAGTTGAATTGAATAACAATAGATTTTCATGACAACTTGGTCCTTCAAAAGCAACATTTTCCATAATCCTGCAAAGTTTTGAAGTCTAATTGTTTCTCTGTATCAGTCTCATACAGAACGTTCAGTGGTTAGGCCTGATTAAAGTGCACCCAATTGTTAATGGCACCCATTCCCACATTTTACTTTTTTCTTTTAAAAAAGGGAACGGGAGTTTTTTTTTAAATTTTATTTTTAATACAAAAATAGTCTAAACTTAAGGGAGAGGGGATTTTTTACATACACTATCATGGTGTTATGAGATTCGAACTTGAAACCATTAGTCTGTAAATTTCACCCTTTTTCACTTGGTTAAATCCCGTTGGCTTGGGGAGCAAATTTTTAATTTTTTGGTTAAAAACAAAGGGAGTATTGAATTTACGCACTTCACCTAAAAATATATCAAAACTCTGAGGGCAAAATAAAATTAACTTTTGACAAAAAATATATAAAAGTGAAAAGAAAAACCACAAGTTGAAGAGAGAGAACCTGAGAAACTCGGTGGGAGGCCCAAAGAAAAAGTTGAAGCCGACGGCGGCAGTCTTTTGAATCACAGGCAGTGGTGGCTGCGTGTTTGATTATGCATTTCGACTTATAATTAAGAGATTGCGTTGCATTGCATGGCTGGATAATTACCAGAAAGCATTGTTTAGTTGGGGACTGGGTAATTAATTAATTAATTAGTTAATTTTTTTAAAAGGGAATTTATGTAAATTAGTGCTTTTAATCTCAATATTAGTACCCTCCAAAAAGAGGGTGACGGGGGAAAATAAGAACAAAAGTTGGGCCATTTGTTGATTTTATTTATATATTTTTGGTGAATTGGGGGTGGAAGCCCAAAAGAGATTGGGCCATATATTCAGTGCGGCCCCCTAGAGTTTTATTTATTTATTTTAAATTTAAATTTCTAAATAAGCATATTTTGTTCTTTTGTTGATGAGGAATGCTATATGTATTGCATTTCTTAACCACATTGTTGATGAAAGTTGTTTGTCCTAGTAATCTTATGATTAATTGGATCGTGTTTCAAAAGTCACAAGAAATATGGTGATGAATAAAATGTTCCATTTACCGTTTGCTCTTAAAAGAAAACATTGGAAGATGTCTCCAATTTGAATTCCCCCTCTCACTCGCAACTTAAAAGAAAACATCTTTTGTTGTAAATTTGTATTGTAATCATCGAGTAGGTGTATCAAAATTCCTTTATAAGAATTGATGCCAACTATTGGGTCAAGCAGTATGTTATTAAAACTAAGTTGACTTTAAAGTTTAATCCAGTCTTAGATGTGTGAACTGTTATTTTTGAGTGGTGAGTTTTCTTGGTTTTTTTGGGTCAATGAGAATGGATCATGGCTGAGTATGCTTTGCTGAATAACTCAGAAATAGGATCCTAATATCATAAGTGGCTGATTGTTGTTAAATATGAAGTTGGAGACATAAATGTGTTGGATATCATATTACAAAATTGAAGTTTGATCTAGTCTCAGTCAGATGTGTGAACTTCAACTCTGAGATGCTGTATTTTTATTTGGAAACATTTACTTGATAAATTTAATTCCAAGTCATAGTTTAGTATTAGATCGTTTACTTCCCTTAAATCTCCATCATTTTTCTTCTTTTGGGGCTTTTAGTTGCACTACATCATTTAACTGTGCATGTTATCAAAGAATTCTATATATTATTAAAAGACCAACTAACTAACTATTAGTTTTTTTTTTTTTGCTTTTTCCTTCTCTTTTGATCATTGAGGAGGGGAGGGAGGGAGAGTCGAACTTGGAGCTCTTCCAATCCTGGAAAAGAAATATTACTAGACTAAGAACTAGTTGATAACTAACTATTATTTTAATGACATTTCTCTTCGCAATGTTAGATGTTGTAGCTTCTACGTTTGAATCCCCTCTCTTAGAAGAAAAAGGCTGAGCAGGGTCAGCTCTGCCCATGCCTAAGCCGCTTAGCTATATTTCCTTAGCCAGGATTTTTCATCTTAGCCTAAATCGTATTTTGCACTAAAACCGATTTTTCATATTTTGATTTGGTGGGAATTTGATTTTCTAGTATTTTTATTTGAATCCAAATGGGGGTACTTCCTTATTTACATTGTAAACTTAAGTAAATTGAGTAATATAAAAATAAATAAAAGTAAAAGGACAAAGACATTTACTTAAATGTTGAAAATGAAAATAAGGTAATATGTACACCTTAATAGGTCCGCCTCTGCCTACGTGTATGAGGATCGGATATTTTTTCATATTTTTATTGCCAAAATATTGTCTGCCGTTGGATTGGAGGGAAAATACCATCGGAGCGCCCAGGTTTTGACACATGACACATTACAGTTGGCGCGTGTTGACGTCAGCCTTGCCCTCGTTTTGGACCTAGGGCTAGCCTTGCCCGAGGGCCAGCCCAGTTCGGTAGGCCCCACTGCTTGCCCGGGCCAAAGTTTGTTGCTGGAAACACGATTTTGGGCTTTCCCCCCCCCTCCCAGCCCTCCCCTTGGCTGCACTGCTGGAAATGCTCCAATAGCATATATTAAGTTGTTGCAGTTAAGAAGCTCGAATGCTCCAATAGCATATATTAAGTTGTTGCAGTTAAGAAGCTCGTAGTATTGGTGATAACGGAGAGTCAAATGAAGCTTTCTCAAAATAAATGAATTCGTACCCTGCGTTGGAAAAAATCTTGTAATAATGCAGTGGAAAAGAACAAAAGTGTATTCATTGTTGGAAAAAAATGCAGTGGGGTTGTAGGGCTCAATCTTTTCCTTGTGTCTTTTTCAAAGAGCAACAAAGTAATGGCGAAAAGAACACCACTCAAATTGGTAGGTATGTAGGTTGTAATCGGACTGTGAATATTCAATGTACATATGGGGAGTCAGTCAACGAGAAAAATTAGTCAGTTTCAGATATGAGAATTATATTCTTCAATATGCTCCTTTATGTGGAATTTTGGGAAGTTTTCGATTGTGAGACTTATATTTTTCAACATGTCCTCTCATGTGTGGCCCACTAAGTCTAACACATGAATACCACATATTGAGTAAGGAGTAAGGGTAAATATTCAAGCCCAACATGTGAACACTATATATTGGATAAGTGTAAAGACCCAATTTAGGCCCATACAACTAGCAACACCCACAGGGCTTTTGTGAAAAAAACTCAACACTTACTGGGCTTTGTAGGTGGTTAGTTAAACTGAGATCACTAGTTTGTAAGTCAAGACTCTTTTTCACTAAGATAGACCCGTTGTCAATATCAAGTAATTCAATATGGAAACACTATGTATTTACACTAAATTTTGCTCCTTCAGTTCTATATGTACGTTCCCACTATTTCATCCACGTTCCTTGTAAAACTCCTCCGATTTTCCTTAGAAGTTTTCCCCTTTTCATTATTTTTTTTGGATAAATACCATGGGGTGTCCGATCCGCTTGCGTGCACCTCGACTAATCCATTTTTCATTTTGACCTTGTGGATTTCTCAGCTTTTAACTTTCAGATTTATACTATGTTATAGCTATTCCATGAAATCATAGCTAGAGGGAATGACTATAGTCCACACATGAAATCCATGGTTGCAAATTGAAGGACACATCCAAGAAAGAATTGTAGTGTAGGTTTTAGAATTATAGTCCCCTTGAAGGTTTTAGCTGTCAGACAAGGATGGAACTGTGTATGGGTTGGAGTGGGCTCCAGCCTTGAGCAAGATTTGTCAAATACTAAATTTAGTGCAAATTGTATAAGCTGTTCCTACCCCCACAAATATTATCCCAACCATTGTTGATGTCTCTATTATAATAAACCAATAAAAAACATCATGAGATATTTAATAATATATCATCTTCATTCCTGCTGTCTTATTTATCATCTTAATAGCATTTTTTTTTACAGATTGCTATTACAATTTACATCTAAATAACAATAGTATTGTCGAATTCGTTTCACTGTAGGAAGTAAATTTACTTTTTTGCAATGCACTATTTGTTTGATTTTTTGTTGTTGACAATATGTGTTTGATTTGGTGTTTATTTAAACATTATTTTTTATAAAATAGATATGATTCAGAAAGTAAAATATTTTTTCTTGTACATTAAAATAGATTACGAAATTAAAGTTTGATCTAGTCACAGAGACCTAGCTACATGTGTGTGAACAATAAAACTAAAATAAGAGCTGGCTTAAATGTTTTAATTATGGAGTAAACGAGATAGAATTTTATGGCAGCTCTTAGTTATATAATGCTGCAATAACTCAGTGTACAATTATTGTGAACCTTCGTATTAGCCATTAGCCATTAGAAGCCTTTTCCTCAGTGTTTTCATACTCCTTGACCCGTTCATTAGAGCTTCAACTCCAAAATTCTGAAAACTAGAGCCACTCACTCATTCAGTCCCCCATCTTTGAGCGACTCTCTCTGTATAGGGGTGTCTCCCATGGCCGATGCAATATTTATTATCGAGCTCATCTGCACTTGTTGCATTGTTTGCTCTTTTCTGATTGGCCTAAGTGAAATGGTGGCCGGACACTTGAATGCCAAGTACATGGAGATTAGAAAAGAATGGAGGTTGCTGGATGCTCTATTGGAAGATCATGCTGAAGTTTTGCACTCGGTGGATCAAATAAAACAGAACGCCGAACGACTTTTTGATTCCGAACTCATCCAGGCCGGATGGACAGTACAACTGAATGCAATGCAGCAATGGATAAACGATGCAAAGAAGTTGGATGAAAAAATTAAAAGCTTTCAAGGTTTGAAGAACAAAAGAAAATCACCACTGTGGTTGGTTTCCTTTTTCATTTATCTGCCAGAGATGTATTTTGTTCTCGATATGGTGAAGTGGCACAATAAAGCCCTCCAGAAGAAACCGTATGCCGACATCTATGCATCACTGGAGCAGTCAAGGTCCAAGGTTATGAGCCTGCAGGACAGATCATCAATTGTTGTCGAACCCAGACCACCACCTGTTGGCTTAAGTTCAGATGATCATCAGTTGATTTCCTCTTTAAAGAAGCCAGATTGGGACATGAGCGGCTCGGAAGAAAAACAAATAAAGAAATTCATAACGGATTTATGGCTACTGAATGCGTTCATGAAAGATATAGAACAGCTCAAAGAACTGGAAACTAATATGGAGAAGTTCTGGGTGGAAGAAGCAAAGAAGACCATTCACAAAGCAAAGGATGCCATTGCCACCATAAGTAAGCCAACAAGGGCAAACCGGAAAAGTTGGCAGAAGCTTAAGAAGGACATGACACACTTCGACGCCAGGATCTCTAAGCTCCTGGAATCAAAGGAAAAATCTGATTTTAAATTCATCAGACGAGAGTCATCAAAATCAGCTGCCCACCCATCTGATCAGCCTGAGGAGTACACATTTCATCATGAGTATCAGCAGATTACAGGTGATATGGATTTTTTGTCTGCTTTAAGCAACATCCAGAACTGGCTCAACCAACTGCCAAAAACAAGCGGAAAATTGTCATCTGCTGTCAGCTCACTGAGAAAGGAGTTGGAGAGCACGCAACAGCTTTTCAAAGATAAAAAGACAACTGAGCATGCTAGCAATGCAAGACATGCTTGCTTGGAGCAACTGAAAAAGCTGGCTCCTGAAGCAGAGCAGTATTCCAAAACCCACATGGAAGACTCAGAACAGTGTCCCTCTGATTTTATTAAGCAACTCGAGACGACTATCATTACTCTTCAAAGACGAATGAAGGTATACTCCATTGAGGTAACAAAGGAGTGCTGCTCAGTAATTGGTTTGGAAGAAGACATACATGAACTGGTCCGGCGACTGACCACAAATAGTGAGAGTGAACAGAACTCTGTAATTTCCATTTTGGGAATGAAAGGTATAGGTAAGACAACTCTGGCGAAGGAAGTTTATCGCCACAAAACCATTACAAACCATTTTGAAGTCCACTGTTGGGTAAGTGTACCTGCAAGGTCGAATGAAATTGATCTTTTGAACACTGTTGGAAGCAAGGTACTACCAGACTGGAACCAAGTGGAACAGAGAGGAAAGAAGTACTGGACCAAGACAATGTGTAAATTGTTGAAGGAGAAGAGATGCCTTCTAGTTTTTGACAATGTCTTGTCAAGGGAAACCTTGGATGCTCTCAAAATAGCATTCCCTGTTGCAGAAATGACAAATGGCAGCAGGATTTTGCTCACCACAGGCATCAAGGCCTTCGCTGATTATTCAAATGCTCATGATGACCCAAATAATTGCATTCAATGTTACCCTCTTCGGCTTCGAACCCAAGAAGAGAGCTGGGAGTTTTTCACCCAGATGGTGCACATTTCTTCTTCCAAGAAAGAGCTAATTGCCAACGCAAAGAAAGTGGTGGGAAAAACCGGAGGCTTACCACTTGTGATCTTTCGTCTTGGGTATCTACTGGCCCGCAACACATTAGTAACACCTGCTGAACTCTCAAGGTCTCGTGAGCGAATCAGTTATGGAAGGAACCAATCACCGTGGTTAGATACCAAGGAAATGAATAAAGAAGAGCTGCAAAAAGGTTACTTTGAACTCTTCCCTGGCGGGGACTTTGAAATCCCTGCAAGGAGATTAGTTGCTTTGTGGGTTGCAAAAGAATTAGTAAAACTAAAGGAAGATGAGAAAAGAACTCAAGAAGAAGTTGCTTATGAGTATCTATCAAAGTTAGTTGACCGTAACATGATTCAGGTGGTTCAAAGAAAGCCTAATGGGGACATCAAGACATGTTGCTTGCCTTCTGCCCTTCGGGAACTTTTGTTGCGAGATAAAGGCACTAACAGCACAACCCGCTCGTGGTCCCAAAGTACAAGTTCTGACCAGCAGCATGTTGCCTATCATTTTGATGATAATGATGCCAGTTTCAGCCGCATCAATGGTCTCAACACAAATTCGGCAAATGTGCTGCATGGTAGTTATCCCCGCTCCATTCTTTTCTTTGATACTCGAGAAGGAAATAAACCCGGAGAGGAAATAGGTGAGTTTCTTCGCAGGGGAATTGCATGTGGTTTCTTTGCAAAGTTGGAGGTTCTTGACCTTGAACGGGTATTCAAACCAAAAGTGCCGGAGACCATTGGAAAGTTGAAGAAGTTGAAATATCTCGGGTTAAGGTGGACTTACATAGAGATCATCCCAGAAACTATAGGCAAGTTTTTTTTTTTTTTTTTTTTTTTTTT